TCTTTGTAAAAACTTCAATTGAATTTCAATAAAGTTAAAGGCATGGCCTTATTGTTAATATTTAAAAAAAAAAAAGATAATAAAAAGTTTATTTAAAAAGACCCAAATAAAAAGGTAGCTGGATCTTTAATAATGTTACTGTAAAGACTAGCCTTAGAAAATAGATGCCAATATTAAAATATCTGAACAAACAAGAACCTAGGCTTAGGAAACTCAGATACTACCAATTAGACTGCTAGATTCTGAAAGAAAAGAATATCAAACTGATCTAATATATTAATAAACTGTTGTAGTCCTATTAGGCTATCTGAATTGTAATTTTGAAGAACAAACAAAGTATATTAAAGTAATTCAGATATACTATAAAATAGATGCTAAGGTTCAAGTGAACTTTACAAAAGCATAATGATTTAATAGTTAAGCACTAACTGCAAGTATTAATTCTGCTATAATGATATCTAAGTCAGCTATAAGAATAGATACAAAAGGCTCTAAAGGGTTTACTTCAAAGATAAATTAGTCCTAAGATTAAGACAATAATCTTGGCATCTGAATATAATCTAGTAAGTTAATACAGATTACAGATTTAAAGAATTTAAAGTGAAACATTCAAGCAGGAGTGTTAGATATAGCAATTGGTAAAGAATCTTCAGGTAGACTTCTTAAATAGATAATATAGAAAAGTTATGTGTATAACTAATTGTACTCTTATCTGTAGTAGTTTATTGAATTACAATACTAATAAGTTATTAATAAAAGTCAAAAGACCAAAGAGGTTATCTTAATACTAAAAAAAAAATAATAATAATAAAAATCAAAAGACCAAAAAGATTATTTTAAGAATGTTAGTTTATGGCAACCCTATAATCGACCAATTAGATTACATAAAAAAATCATCAAAACAATAATAAAATTTTAAATTTTTTTAAAACTTTTTTTAATTATATTTTAACAACTACTTAATGAAATTTTTTTTATTTAAATTTTATAAATTTTTATTATTTAAAAAAAATTTTTTTTATTAAATTTAATGAAATAATTAGTGAGATATATTTAATTAAAATTTGCTATATTTTTAAAATAACTTAAAAAAAAATCTTAAAATCAAAATTTTTAACAAAATTTTGATCAAATATATCTTAGCAATCACTTGATCAAATTTAATAAAAATTTTTTTATTTGCATTCTATAGATTTGTAAAATTCAAATAAAAAATATTTATTAAATTTGATTAAGTGGTTGCTAAGATATTATTAAAAGAAGTTAATTTTTTAAATTTTAAAATGTCTATTATATTATACTTATATCAAAATTTTTATCACAACTTTGATTGAAGATATCTTAGCAACTATTTGCTCAAATTTGATAAAAATTTTTTTATTTAAATTCTATAGATCTGTAGAATTCAGATAAAAATTTTTTTATTTGAATTCTATTCCTTTGTCTGTAGGCCAATCTGGGGCAAATTTGTTTTTAATTTTTTTAAAAATTTATATATATATATAGTATATTTTATAAAAAAATAAAATAACTTAATTTTTTTATATTTAATATATTTAACTACAAACTTTATAAAATTAGTTTTATTTAATTTATTATATATAAAATATTTTTATTTTTATATATAGATGATAAGTAGTATTTTTAAAAATTTTGCAAAATTTAAAAAATTTTAAACTAATTTAAAAAAAAATTACTATAAAATTTAAATTTTAAACTAGATATTATATAGCAAAATTCAAAAACCTAGTTATAAGGGGTGTGGCGACTTAGTGAAGTGGATAAGTTGTCAACCCCCTAAGTGGTAAGTTGAGAGTTCAAAACCCACTGATAGTAAAAATTTGAAAAACTACTTATGTTATATCAGTGTATACAGGTATCTGTGCAATGCTAGAGTTACATAAAGAAATGCAAACTAGCATTGAGCAGTGTAAACACAAGATAAGTCCTTGAAACTAGTACTATGACAATAGCTATCTATTGATCAGTTGGGATCAGTACCTGTAACACAGTTACACCAGATAACTGGCAGATTATGGGACATCTGTAGCTATTTAAATCTGTGAACTGGGATAACTGGAGCCCATTTGGAAAGACCTGAGCAGAGAGGTAACACAGATCTTTGACAGTATTACTGTAAAGGCTAGATCTAGGAAACAGATACTAATGCAGAAAGAATCAGGCAGACAAGAACCTCAGATGAGAGGTACTACCAATCAGGCTATTGGAAGTCTCGAACCGAAGGAAAAGAACCTTGGAAGGCAGACTCTGGGGTACCAGAGACAGGTCACAGTCCTACCAGGCTATCAGAATTAGGAGTCTGAGGTTAGAAACAGAGGTATACTAAAGTACTAAAGATATGCTATGAAGTCAGTGCTAGGGTCTAGATGAACTCTGCAAGGATAAGCTCTGTTAACAAGATACTAAATGTGGATAGTTAGTTAGCAGAGGGGCCTCTTGGAGCTCTACAAGTCAGATAATATACTTTGAAATGTGTAACAGCTTGATGGATGTACAAACAAGAAGGTCATAGTTAGGTTAGATGGCACTTAGGTGTATGGGAACTTGAGGCTATTTGTCAGTATAAGTATAGAGATCAGAGTGTTTAAAATAGGTAATCTTCTATTAGATTGCAGGTATGGCAGCTAATGTAGAACCTTCTATGCAAGCGAACTACTTAAATTAGACAACCAAAAGTTGTACATATGGCTAGTTGTATACTCACTTTGTACAAGTTATGTAATTATAATTAAAATACAATAAAGGCAATAGCCACTGATAACTATGGCCTTAGCAAAAGCAAAAAAAAAAAAGCTAGTTATAATAAATAAAATTATAAATATATTTTTATAAATTTAATTTAAAATTTTATATTTATTAGTAATATAATAGATAGATTGTTTAGAAATATATTAATAACTAATTAAAAAAAGTATTGTAGTAATCCAACTGTAACTCATAATCTATTGCTTAGAATTAAATAAATTTTATATCATTTAATTCATCTCAACAAGAAAAATAGAATGATATAAAAATCATCCAATTCTAAACACTAGATTGTAAAATATTGATATTTAAAAAAATTAAAATTTCTTGCAAAATTTTTAAAAAAGTTCATTTAAGTAGCAAATATCTTATGATCAAATGATTAAATTTAAGTGATTTTTATATTATTTAATTTGCCTCAATAAGAGAATCGAATGATATAAAATTGCTTGATTCTAACTAATATATTATATAATATTTTTAATTATATTTTTCTTTAAATTTTTTAAATATTTAACATTTTAAAGGTTTAATTATTTATGTAAGTTAAACAAATTATTTTATTTAAGTCAATTATTAATTTATTAATTATTTTTTTTTATAAAAATCTCTAAAACAATTTGGTTTTGCTTTAGAGCAACAAAGAGGTACATTACATTTAATGCACCAAAATTGCCTTTGAGAGATTGCAGCAAACTTGGTTTTTTTATTACTTTTATTATTTTTTGCCAAGTAACAACAATATATACATGATTATCTTTTCTGTCTTTATTTTACTAAATAATTTTCAGATATCAACTGAGTTAGAAGTAATTTAAATTTTTTTGTAACATGAGCAGTTTGTTTTCATTTTAGAGATGATTTAGAAGAGCTTTCATAATTGAATCATTTTCATGTTTTTTTAATTCCATCATTAAGAACTTTATTAATCAAGTTCTAAATAAAAATAATTCTAAAATTTTTATGTATAATATGTGTATTTGTAGTTTTGATATAAAGAATATAATAATTAATAAGGGCAGAATCCAATAATCAAATAAATAAAGAGAACCAAGTATAAAAAGATGTAAATTGATAATTGTAATAATTTCAAATCTAATCTGCAATATCAACTCTATCTATATACTTATTATAATCATCAATTAATTGTGGAATTGCTAATTCTTTTCTTGACAAATTTCCAAAACTTGTCATACTTTTTTTGTATTAGTACTTGTCTCACATGGGTGACATTGATTATAAATAATTCTTGATTCATCACCAATAATATTGTGAATTGTTGTAAATATACTTACTAGACTATTATTAACTCACAATACAGCTAACACATTATCAGTAACTACACTATAAAGAGTATTACAGTTTAAAGAAGATGATTATTCAATTTTTAGTTTTTTGGTAAATTTACTTGAAATAATATAAACTATGCTACATGCACCTAGATTATTATTATACAAATGCTTAAAAAATGAAATACTTGAAAAATAATTATTCATATAAACATAAAAGGTTTTTTTCTTTGAAAGTTGATTTGCTAAATTCCAAACTATGTACCCTACTTCATTAATGTTTTCAACATATTCTAATTATAAATTTTTATTAACTCATGAGCTAAAAAAAAAAGACTATATATAACCCATATCACAAAGTAAAAAAAATTTGTAACTCTGTGATGTTGGTTTATTTTTTATTTTAAATGTATGCATGTTTTGATTAGCAAACTATATAATCATTTCATCTATAAAAACTTGTGTATGAGAAATATACAACTTTTTAAAAGTTTCTTTAAGATGTGATGATAAGAGGTTTATTTTCAAATACCAAAAAGATTGAAACTTAGTCAGATCTGAAATATGAAAAAATTTTTTTATTTGCTGAAATCTGTACAAAGACATAAACTCCTTAATACTATAAATTGGCTTTTTATCTTCTGAATTTCATAAATCTTTTACTATATAGACTTTATAAACCCTTATATAAATAACTAACACAATCCAAATTTTTAATTCCTTAAAAGTCAATAGATCCCAAGCTTGACCACCTTCAAGACCTTTTAATTGCTCATATTTATTTGTATTTTCAACAATAATTTGTAATTGTTGATCAGTAAAATATTGCTGAAATAGAGTAAATGGACTACCAATGCCTTGTTGCATTTTATAAGATAATGTTGCATAACTTTTATAATATTTTGAGAATTCTGCATAGGTTTAAAAATTGGTAAGTCAGAAACATTAAATGTTTCATTTTTATTTAAATATTTATTTTCTATACTAATTGCTTTTTTTTTTTTCTGCTCACCTTTATTTCTGTCTCTTTGATCTCTCTAACCTCTCTGACCTTCCCAGTTTTTTTTATTTTTTTTATTCTTTTCATGGAATTTTTTACTATTTTTGCCAGTTTGTTCATCTTTGAAACTGTATTGAAATGTTCTTCATATTCTTGTTTTGTAAAAGACTTTTTTTCTGCCATTTTGATAATTGCAACAAGTTCATGATCTATTATTTCTTCTCCATGATGGTTACGCTTAAATGTAAAGAAATACAATGAATCTAAAACAATACTACTATCTGTAGCAATGTCTGATATTTCTGTAAAAAAAAAAAAAAAACAATAAGAAAAAAAAGCCATTTGATAAGAGTAAAATCTGGTTTATATAAAATCTACATTTTTTTGATGTCTGATATCAAAATTCAGAAGTTTATCAAATCTTACCTTGAGTTTGTGCAGCCAAGATGCTTTATAGAAATGTTGATGTTGTATTTTTATACTTAGTAATATAAAAGACTAGAAGTATATATTTATAAAAATTTTTTAATAGTATGAAAAATTTATCAGCAATTCAAAATCTGAGTCAAATTTGCCCCAAATACAGATAAAAGAATAGATTTGTAGAATTCTGATAAAAAAAAATTTATCAAATTTGATTAAGTGATTGCTGAGATATCTTTAATCAAATTTTTTCTAAATTTTAAAATATCTATTATATAAAAGTGTATTAAAATTTTCATTACAACTTTGATCGAAGATATCTTGGCAATGACTTAATCAAATTTGATAAAATTTTTTTATTTGAATTTTATAGATCTGTAGAATTCAAATAAAAAAATTTTCATCAAATTTGATCAAGTGGTTGTTGAGATATCTTCGATCAAAGTTATTTTTTCAAATTTTAAAATGTTTATCATATAATAC